AGGGAGCTGGATCAGAAACAGAGCAGCCAGGACCCGAAGCAGCACTGTGATCTGGGATGCAAGCATTGCAGACGGCTGGCGGCTTGGCGTGCCAACCCAAACCACTATTTGCACAAATCCTTTGGCAAGTTGACAAGCACCTGAACACTTTCCCCTGCGTCCAGCTGCAGACTCTGCTGGGATTTTTGTTTCCTCTCTTGACCCGAGTGGTTTTCCTGGTGAACAAAGGTGTGAGTTAAAAGCTGGGGACTTCCAAAGTGACCCCAGAGAGGACTCCTGGGGCACTGACTGTGTAAATAGGAGCATCCTTAGTAGCCTAATACAAGAGCAGCGTTCCTTCTTTCATCCCATCAGCAGAATTTGATCCTTGCTGAGGTTCTTCAAGGCCAAGAACTCATCCCTGGTCTGCGTAGCCAGAGTCAGGATACAGAGGTAGACATTTGGGGAGGTCACGGTATGATTGGCAGCCCTAGGGGGAGTGTGATGGTGAAGCGGGGTCTTCAAGAAGGCCAGGCTGAGCATGGCCGAAAAAAACACAACAGCCACGAGGCTGGCCCCGTGGAGAGGCCTCAGGCCATGTTGGTCCCATGCAGCAGTGGATAGACTAAGGATGTTGCTATGGTGTGCAACCAGTGGGCTGCTCCCTCAGCAGATGTTTACCAGGAACCCACCGGGAGCTGGCCACTGTGTCCAACCGCAGGGCAACGTATCAGACAGGACAGAGCAGGCGGCACCCATGAGGAGCTTAGCTTGGTAGGGGGAGGGAGATTATGGCAGAACTCAGTGTGCACAGTGAGTGAGACGCAGCCTGGGCTCAGTGGGGAGTGGACCCGGCCAGGCGTGCTGAGGGACAGGATCTCACATGGAGAGTCCAAATGCAGCTGATAAACATATTTCAAATAAAGCCTTGGCCTCACTTGATCTTCTGAGTCTAGAATCAGCAAACCACTGATCCGGAAGCCAAAACTCAGCTGCTGACAGTTGGTATAGCCAAGAGCTAAGAATGGTTCTTTTTGAATAACTGGAATAAAAATCGAAAGCATATCTGTTTGATTTCAAATGCATTTATAGTATTTAGTTGAGGGACAGAGAGAGGGGAGTGAGGTTTTACCATCTGCTGGTTCCCTCCCTAAGTGCCCACAACACCTGAAGCTGGGCTGGGGGCTGGGGGGCTGTACCAGGCCGAAGCAAGGAGCTGGGAATGCTGTCCAGTTCTCCCACACGGTTGGCAGGAGGCAGGATATGCATTAGCAGGAAGCTGGGGTTCAGAGCCAAGTTTCCAACCCAGACACTCCAATGTGGGATGCAGGCATATCCACAGCGAGACCAAACGCCCACCATAGAAGGAAATCTTACAACAGGGGAAAAGCATCAGAGATTGAAATGTACTGTCCACTGAAAGGCTTAGGGAGGGGGCCCACTCACTCTCACATTGGTCCATGCTACCGTGTGTTGCACAGGCAGTGTCCTTGTTTGTAGCAGTGGCCATGTGGCTTACGGAGCCAACTCTATTTGGGAAATGCCGGCCATCTCCTGTCCCACTTCCCGCTACTCCTGAGTAGAGGCCACATCCAGATTGGGCCCACCATGCCCAAAAATCCCCAACCCCCTATGAGGCCGAGCGATGCACAGAACAAAATGAATCTTTAGAATGGACAAATGGCTCCTCCTCTAGGCATGGCAGCGACACCGAGGCTGTGGGCCCCTCGCACGGGGAGTGTGGGACAGACAGCGGTCCTTGGTGGCCCCTCACTTCCTGACAACCCATCAGAGTGAGACCCACCTGACTCCTCTGAGAGCCCCACTCAGTATTTTCTAGTACTCTGAAGCAGCACCTTGATTCAAGATAATAATCCCATGCTGTACTCATCGGTGGGGAAATGCATGCATGGCTCCTGGAGTGAAATGCAACAGCAGCATCCGGGACAGCTACTCATGCCCTGCGCCATCACACCGGGCGTGTGGCTCTGACATGGGAATGGAGAATCCTTGGGCATCCTAGAGAGTTCAGTGTTTTCGTGATGGGTATTGAGAGTTGAAGGGATGATTTTTTTTCCCTTTTGGTGTAACTTGCTTGTTGAACGAACACGAATTCTCATCTTCTGCACAGCAGATCTCAGCTTTGTAAACACATTATGGTTTGATTGAGAAGCACGGTGAGAGAGAATGAGAGACAGAGTCATAGAGAAACACAAGAGAGAGAGAGACTCTGCTAGCTCCTTCCCCAGTGGTCCCCATGGTCCCAATGGCCCCAGTGGCTAGGACTGGGCCAGGCTGAAGCTGGGAGCCAGAAGCCCTGTATTCAGCTCCATGTGTGTGGCTGGGACTCAAGCACCTGGGCCACCATGCACTGTCGGGAGCTGGATGGGAAACAGAGTGACTGGGATGCTGGCTTTGCAGGCTGCTGCTTTCCCTACTGCGCCACAAGATTGACTCAGAACCCTGCTATTTTTTTTTTAATGAATAGATAAGAATAATGGTTGTGGTGCTGGTGTGATGGCTCAGTTGGCTAATTCTCCACCTGCAAGCATAAGCATCCCATGTACACACCAGTTTACATTGCAGCTGTTCCATTTCATACCCAACTCCCTGCTTGTAGCCTGGGAAAGCAGCAGAGGATGGCCCAGAGCCTTGGGACCCAGCACCTGCATTGGAGGAGGTTCCTGTCTTGGGATTGTTGGTGTGTCTGAGATGTGGCACTTAGAAGTACATCCCATTTACCGCTCACCTCCAAAATGCAAATGTGGTAGGAGGGCAAGAAGGCATGTGAGAAGTTAGGAAATCAGAGATGATCATCATGAAGAGGAATAAAGAATTCCCAATAAGTAAATCTCCGTGATCCGTTGTTGGTATTTGCAAAGATGCAGTGTAAACTTTTTCCAGCTTTTCTCCCCTCTCCTGTCTTGGGAAACAGGAAGCTTCAGCCATGTGGGGACGTTAAAAACAGTAGGATGGCGCCACCTAGTGTCCATGCTCTGTCCCTGCGCCCGAGGGAAGCCTCCAACCCTAAGCTCTGATGTCCCTGTGCAGGGGGCGCTTGCCTGGCAGGCCAACAGTGCAGTGCCTCCCCAGGAGATCCGTGGGGCTGAGGGAATGCCTCATTAATTTATCCCTGTTTTCTGTCTCTGTCGCACGAAGCGTGCATCTCTGACTGTGCTGGGAGCTGGTAGTTGAACAGCAAAACGATGCATCCTTGTGAAAATGCCTGGTCTTCATCGCCACCCCTGCTGCCCTGGCTGCACAGCTGGCCCGTTACCTGCTCTCTGGCTATTGGGTAGGAAGTGAGGCTGGTAGGCTGCTTGACCTGGGGCTGGACTGTGGGGGACAGCCAGCCATGGACCCCCTGTGTGTCCTGCAGCCTGTTCAACTCCCTCTTGCTCAAAGCCTGCAGCTGCAGCAGCATCTTTCCTCCGGCTCCTCCCTCCCTCACCTGATTCATGTCAGTGCCCCGCCTCCAGGCTCCCTGCTGCCCTCCCCCCAGGGCCCTTTTCTGCTCAGCTGAGCTCCAGGGATCTTTGCCAAGCACCAGCCTGATCGCGTTAGCCTCAGCTTCGGATTTTTCCAGCGGCTTGCCAGGGCTTGGGGACAAAGATGAGAATTGTAATCTGGGTCCTGAAATGCTCAGTGCAGCTGCCCCTGGCGCCCTCACCTGCCCTCTTTCTCCATGCCTCGCTGTCCTGCTGGCCTTCCTCAGTCCCAGAGCCTTTCCTCCTACAACCCTTTCCCTGCCTGGACACCCAATTCCAGTCCATCTTCTCTCCAACAAACAGAGGAACCTTCCCCCACGGGTGCAATTCTGCCAGTCTCCATTCTTCTTTGGGTCTACAGCTTCTCACACCCAGGAAACTGGCCCTGTGGGAGACCTGTGTTAACATCTGGGGACCGCTTTGCAGTGATCGGAATCTGGGTGCAGCTTACTGCTGGAGTAGCATCAGGGGATTGGAGGCCAAAAGTGGTGCTGCCCAGTGCACAGGAATGCTCTGGCTCCTGGGAGCCTGTGGGCACAGCGGGCACAGGGATTGTTCTGCACTTTACCAGGTCTGTCTGTGCGAGGTATTCAGAAAGTTCGTGGAAAACTTTTCACACGTTATAGAAAAAACTATGGGTAAATTCCAAATTTTGGAGTCACATGAATTTATCTTTTTTTGAGATTATTTTTATTTGAAAGGTAAATTTTACATAGAACAATCTTCCATCCACTTGATTTGACCCCAGATGGCGGCGATGGACAGAACTGAGTCGTATTTATTTAGAGTCCAGTCTGTTTACAGTAAAATTTTCATCTATAGTAAAATTTAATTACTTGGGGACACAACACAAGTCGGATGGCCTGACTTCTTCAAAAATGAATCCACCATAAATCAAGAGGCCCAATGATTATGCTATATTAAAAAAAAAAAGGTGAAGGGACTGGCATTGCAACCTGCAGGTTCAGCTGCCACTCAGGCCACTGGCGTCCCGTAGGAGGGCCACTTCCAATCCAGCTCCCTGCCACTGTGCCCGGAAAAGCAGTAGAAGATGGCTCGAATGCGTGGTCCTCTGCCACCCCTGTGGAGACCCCTGGCTTTCACCTAATCCAGCCGCAGCTGTTGAAGCCATTTAGAGAGTGAACCAGCAATGGGACACATTTCTTTCTCTCTCTCTCTAGAACTCTGCCTTTCAAATACACAAATAATCAAAGTAAAATGATAACTAAATTGAGAGGCAGCCACTATCAATGATTAAAAAAACAGTTGGAAGATTTTGAATAAGCAGCTGAGTTTGGTGCATTTGGCATGAAAATGGTCCTTAGCGGGGCAGGCCAGGCAAGGAATGAGGTGTGCGATAGTCTGCCGTTCTCACTGGCTTGGCTGTGATGCTGTCGTGGGTGTGCAGAGATGGGACAGTGTTGGAGGTGGAGGGTTGTGTGGGTGACGCGGTGCTGGGGTCTCTGGAGGTACAGGCAGTTGAGCCGCCTGCTGTGTCTGCCACACCCTGAGCCCCACTTCCTGTATGTTCAGTCTGCAGCTCCCCGCCCGTGCACATGAAGGTGCAGCCACTGAACCAGACGGCACTGCAGGTGTCCTGGAGCCAGCCGGAGACCATCTACCACCCTCCCATCATGAACTACGTCATCTCCTACAGCTGGACCAAGAATGAGGACGAGAAGGAGAAGACGTTTACCAAGGACAGTGACAAAGACTTGGTGAGGCCCTCTTGTGCCCCTGGTGGTGCTGACGGAGGAGGGAGAAGGGGTGCTGGGCTTCTACAGCAGCTCCACAGCCTGCGAGCTGCCGGTCTCCTTGTGATCTCCTTGTGATCTCACTGCCTGACGAGTATGAGGACTGCATTGGCCATGTGTCCTGCGATGGCCACTGGGTGGACAGGGTACCGGACCAGCCCGAGTTGCAGCCTGACCTTGCGCTTGCCAGTGGTATGAGCAGGAAGAGCTGACCAGCATCCTGGTACTGACCCTTTACAGCTGACAGCTTTCTCTTCCCTTATTGAAACAGAAATCTAGGAGACCTGTGTCCCCTCTGTCCCCAGTGCCACCCACCTGTCCCCAGCCCTCACTTCTCCCTTTTGCCTCATGTGTCCTGCCTTGCACATCACTGCTACCCACTGGGCCCTGTGGCCCCGATCTTTGCTTACATCTGCTCTGTGGTTCTCAGATCCTCAAGCACATATCCTCACTGGGAACTGCACATACCCAGTGCAACTCTTGTTCATATTCACATGTATGTTTTCCAGCACCCAGGAAGGCCCTTCGGAACAGGTGCTTAAGGAAATCATCATTTCCCCCCATGACCAGCAAGCTCTCCCACAGGCTCTATAAGTGACACATTTGCGTCTGAAAACCTCACTTGCCTTTATTGTTAATCAAAGGAGGGCTTTGGGATAATGAAAGCTGTCAAGGCATCCTTGTAGGAAGAAAGGCAACAGCACTGAGTGGGATTCTTAATAACTAGAACCATTTTCTCTTTGTCCCAATCCAGAGTCCTCGGGGCCCATTCAATCAGGTTTAGAATAATACTTTTCATATTCCTTTAGATGAAGCTACTTTGACTTCATTTCCATTTATATTTTCAATTTCCCAAGTAGACGTTGTTATCTGGGTCACGTTGGGGGAACGGGGAGCTTTCTGAAATCCAAGAGGCATCTATTGAAAGGCTCCCAAGGTTAGGATGTGTTTCAACCTTTCTGCCGTCACCACCGGAGAGTCCATCAGGAAGGGATCCCATCAGGAAGGGATCTTTCTCTTTGTGAAGGAAAGAGGGCTCCCATTCATCAGTGGCGAGTGTCTCGGCACTTGGGCAGTTTCTTGTTTTTAAGTGGAATATAATTAAACATGCAAAGATGAATAGATACTGACTCGGAGTGAAATCGAATGAGTGCCGGCATCGATAGAATGGAAAGTTTGTGACAAGCAGACAACGGGGTCAGAGGTTTAGAGAACGAGACATAAATTAGTTTCAGAGAGAGAGAGGGGCCAGTGGAGGGACCACGTGCTGTGTGACAGCAAGCTTTCTGGGGAGAATTTTAAGGGGTGATTCTTTTTGCGAACCCACAAAATTAATTTTCCAAAGTCCTCAGCGAGCCAACTATGCTGCGACCCAGCAGACAACGCTGCCCAGAATCCTAAAGGCAGTGCTTCATCTCCACACTGCCTCTTCTGCTTCCATCCCTCTCCCATGGCCTCATCGTTGGAGTGGATGTTACTACCCACTCTTATGCAGGAGATGGATGAGGCCCCAAATTCCACGCCATCACGCTCACCTACTGCATTCACCCCAAAGCCGTCTTCCTGGCAACAACAGCGGATGTGACCACAACCGCGTTTTCACACCCACGCAGAGGTTTTGTCCTCACTGCTTTAGAAAGCCCAGCCATGTGCAGGGTTAAGCTCACCACTGCATGCATCTGGCAGAATCTCTGGGATCCACCTGATTCTGTTGTGTGTTCTTGGGCAGCAAGTGCCACCTGCTTTTTAGGTATTTCCCATTTACTCCTGTCTGAAGGCTGCTGGAATGAAACCGTTGTCAATTTTATTTCATGAGAGTTTCAATGCACAAAACAAATTGTGAGCTGCTCATACAGAATTGCCTTGCATTCCTCACCCCATTTCTCCTATTAACCTCATCTGTGCATATCTGTCGCAACTGATGAACCATCCCAGCTTGCCCTATTTTTTTTTTTATTTGAAAACCTTTTCCCCTCCCATTCTTCCCTCTGTGTCTGGTTTATCTCACTCAACATCATGTCCCATAGTTCCATCCATTTTGCTGCAGCTGACCGAATTTCATTTTTTAGTAGCTGAAGAGTATCCCGTTGTTTATAAATACCCCATAGTCTTGCTCCATTCATCTGTCACTCTGGTTGATTCCATATGTTGGCCATTGTCAACACTGATATTGTAAACGTGGTGGAGCAGGTGTTTCTGATAGAGTGAGCTGGTACATTTTGAAACTCTGAGTCTCTGAAGAGTGGGTGGTACTGGACAGCATTTGGCGGACTGCATAGTCAGCACCTGGGCTTTGTAGATCTTCCTTCCAGAAGGAGCCTTCAGTCCACGGGGAAGCTCTGTGTCTGTTGGGCTCTGCCAGGGGACTTCGAGTTTGGCCTCAGGATGCAACGTGTGGGAGAGAAGCCTGGACTGGGGATGAAGTTGCCTGCATCCCACATCATACGGCTTGGGTTTGAGTCCTGGCTCCACTGGCTGACTCCAGCTTCCTGGAGACCCTGATTGGATCCCTGCCATCCACACCCTGATGCTATTCTCACATTCTAGCTTCAGCTATAACTGGCTGTTGTGGTCGCCCCTTCTCTGCCGCTGCTCCCTTCCCGCATACACACCAACCAGTTTACAAAACAAGCGAAATGGACGCTGGCCTTCCAGATCAACTCACTGCCTTGTGTCTCCTCACCCGCAGAAAGCCACCATCAGCCACGTCTCACCTGATAGCCTCTACCTGTTCCGGGTCCAGGCCGTGTGCCGGAATGACATGCGCAGTGACTTCAGCCAGACGATGCTCTTTCAAGGTGAGCTCTGGTGCTCCCTCCTCCAACTTGGAATCACCCCTGAGCCCGGGAACCTGGTTGGACAAAAGAACACACCTGCCGTGAGTGGCAGTATAGGGTTTTAAACCTTGCCCGGGAAGCCCTGGGAAGGCACATCTGCAGATCTTTCAGCTTAGGGGATTCAAAAGTCACAATAAATTGCCGACTACACTCATGCTGCTGTGCTGTAGAACTGAACTATAATTCATCCTCCCCTAGTGCATTGTGCCACCTGGTTTCCTGCCTCCCACCACCCACCTGTCTCTGCCATTCTGTCCCGTTGTACTCTCTGCTTGAATGGCACCAAGTGTCTTGGTTTGTCTTTCCGTACCTGGTTTGTTTCACTTAATGGGACGTCCCCTAGAGACCTTCAGTAGCTTCAACACTTAGTGCTTACATTTTCTGTGCTAATGTTCGCGGTGACTTCAGCCATCTATTGGAATGAAATGTGCATAATTGCATTTTTTTTTCTCAAAGAAATGGCCCCCCGCTGTGCCCAATGGTACCCAGAATATAGAGCTAACTAGCCCTATGCGGAGTTGGGGGCACAGGCCAGGGCCACGTCAGTACCCCCAAGGAGAGAGATTGCAAGAGGACAGCCTGGAAAGCCTGCTGAAGCAGGCCCTAGTGTTACTAGCACAAAAATCAGGACGAGGCATCCTGTGTGCTCTGACGACAGCCTGGAATATGCTAAAATGCGTGGTGCAAAGGGCCCTGAGTTCAACGGTGTCTGCGTGGACCTTGAAAAGTTTGATGTTTGTAGTGTAACCCCTAACCCATCACTTGTGGCTTCTCAGTGCAAGTGCTTCCAGTATCTGACCACGGTGCCCATTGAGGGTGGCCAGGCCTTCTGCGTCCACAGACGCTGTGCTGGGTGCTGCACCTGAATTTACTCATGGTGTGCATTGGGATTGATCTTTCCATGCTGGAAAAGCAAGGGACAAGATCCTTAATTTACACCTGCCCATGATGGCTTTGGTATCTTTCCTGTACCTTCAAAGGAAGCAGCAGGAAAACCTCAATCAAGGTGAGCTAGCTTCTTTTCCGGTGAACCAGATGGGAGTGTGTAAGCCACAGAGGCCAACATACAAAACAGATCAACTCTTAGGGTGTTTGTTTTGAAAAGCAGAGAGAATAAGAGTGTGCTGGAAGCCTTGAACCCTCCGGTTTATGCCCCCAGATCACGGCAGGCAGTGCCTGACCATGCCAGACCTAGGAGTCACGGACTCCGTCTGCTTGAGCCATTGGCTCTCACTCCCAGGATGCACAGAGCCAGGACTGAAACTGGAATACTCCAGAACGCAATGCGGGTTTCTCCAGTGGTGACATAGCTCACTGCATCAAATACGGACCCCAGAATTTAAGCTTTAAAAGGGGTTGAGTCCCTCTCAGAGGACCTGGGTTTCGAGACCGGGCTTTGCTTGCTGCTCCAGCATCCTGCTGCTGCAAGCCCTGGGGGCAGTAGTAGTTGATTGCAGTCATTGAGTGCCTCCCATGTGCGTGGGATTGCCAGTCTGTGTTCCTGTCTCCCATCTTAAACCTGGCCCAACCAGCAACTCTTGCTGGCCAGTGACCCAACAAGTGGGTGCTCATTCTCTTTGTCTCGTCTCTCTTTTCTCTGCCTGTCTCTTCTCGGATTAAAAATAACTATTCCAATAAATAAAAGGGAAAGAATAAAGCTTAGCCAATTCCATAGAAGCCTTGTTCAGAATAAATGAAATTCACTATAATGAATTTATATCTGGCTTTGAAGCATGAGGAAGCTGAATATTTACCTTATTATGGTAAATACAACAATATTTATGGTTTATAGAACATGACAATAAATATGTTATATTGGCCTTCCTGTGGCAAGAAAATAATAACAATAATAATGGCAAGCAAAATTTGTGACATGACTCACAGCTACGGAGCGTTTTCCCATAAATTGTCTCATCGGCACCTCACTTGGTGGCAGCTTGTAATGTAAGTGTTAGTTTACAAATGGGAAAATGATGTTCTCCAGGAACAGGAGAAAAATCGCTCAGCTGCCCAAGCAGAACTGGGTTTCCTACTGTCGATTGCAATCGTACATACACGGTAACGGGCAACCCCACGGAGTCCGTGTTACCCAGTACCCCAAGCCTTCAGCCACAGGGTGAAAAAAACAGATGCCCAAGCATTCAAAAAGCGTTTCTGCCATCAACAGCCATGCAAAACATGGCCTACAAAACCCCCTAGAGTCCCCCCTCGGAGTGCTTTTAAATAAAAACACAAAAAAAGGAACCAATTATATCCTCATGCCTTTGTCAAAATGTTTGGAACACATTCGCAGTACGGTTACATATGCCCTTTTTAAAATAAGCGTTGGGTAGCAAGTGGTCTGTTAGCTGCTGTGATTTCGGGGTAGTGGTGGACATGAGTAGTCCTCCTGGCATAGTCTGCAGGGCAGTGGGAAGCCAGCAAGCAGTGCTGAGATCGACTCCCTGCGCCGACCACCGAGGCTCAGGAGCAGGCCCTGCGAGAGCGGAGTGACAATGCCACTGGGGTTTGTGTCCTCGTGCTGTCACTAGCCCTGGTGTAGGAATGAAAGGCTGCATGCCGACGGAGTGGCTGCTTCAGTGCCGGCCTTCATTACAGTCAGTGCAAAGAGCACGCAGAGGAGGTCTCTGGGAGCTGTGTTCACCTGCCTGAGCCAGGGAGAGATGGGCCCAGGAGCAACACTGCAGTCCTGGAGCGCTGTGTTTAGTCTTGGCTGAGACCGTCACGGTGGCTTTCTGGACTGGCTTCTTTGACCTGGCATCTGAAGGGGTACTGAGATCTGGTTCCTTCTGTTCTCTGCATGTTCTCTGCCTTACACACTTTGCTGTTGACTGTGCCAGACAAATGCATGCTCCATCAAGGGTTACAAAGGCAGGTGCCCGTGGGACTGGGGATGGTGTACATACGAGGAAAGGGTGGGCCAGGAGCACTTGGAGGTCACGTGTTCACAGAACAGGGGATCACCAGCAGCATAGCGGCATGCCACCCCCCTGCATATTGGGCAATCCATTTTGCTAGCTGATGTGGTTTGGTGTAGAAGCCAGAAATTGATGTGTCGGTGGCAAATGCAGTTTGTAAAAAAAGAAGCTTGCGATCCAGACACATACATGCAGGTCACTTGCCATCCCTGGTTCAGTACACACCCCAGCGGGAGGGAGTGTGAATCGTTTTGGGAATTAAGATCTCTGCTCAGTGTTCAGTGTCATGCATGTTTAGGAGCGTGCTTTTCTAAAGTTCCTGGAAATACTGAGTTGAAAGATAAGTTTCTTTTGGTGCCAAACATTTTTAATTCACCGCATGGTTTTCATATTCTGCATATCATGAATTGTCAAAGATCCTCTATCTATGCCTGGCTTGAAGGGTTTTTTTTTTTTTTTTTTTTGCCCTGGATAAACCAATCCCATAGTTTGATTTTCCATGAGCTTTTTCAGCATGCTCGTCACCCAGAAGTAGATTTATACACTTGAGACACTACTACTCGTCTTTGAAATAACCAGAGGCACCGCTGAGCAGAGTGGTTCTGTTTTTGAAATGTCACTGTTTACATTATTTGCAGTAGTCAAAAGGCACGCACCACCCACAAGTGCACCAAGGCGTAAAGCAAAGGCCGCGTCGGTGCTGTGCGGTCTGATGTGGAGAGGGACGTTGTGACAGGTGCCACAGGATGAGTGGGTGCCTCTTGACATCCTGCTCTGTGAAGGATGCCAGTCACTGAGGGACAACAGCACGTGACTCCACGTCCAGGGAGTGTCTGGGCGAGTCAGGTGCACAGGAACAAAGGGGTTACCAGAGCTAAGGGGAAGCAGGCGACAGGGTGTTAACTTCAGTTCTTCAAGATGAAGAAGCTCTGGGAAGTATTGTGAGTCACAAACTGTCTTTAAGATGACAAATGTATGTGCATTTTACTACATCAAAATACATTTTTTTAAAACTCAGTGTTAAGTAGTTCAAGGGGAAGGGGCCTGCGTTGTTGCACAGCAGCATAAGCTGCCACCTGCAAGGCTGCCCACCCATGTCAGAGTGCCGGTTCAAGTCCTGGCTGTTCTGCTTCCAAGGCAGCTTCCTGCCTACGTACCTGGGAAGGCAGTGCTTGGGTCCCTGCCCCCACGTGAGAGATCTGGGTGGGGTTATGTTTCCTGGCTTCAGCCTGCCCCAGCCCCTAGCCAGTGAGACCATGGAAGGCATCAACCAGCAGATGGAAAATCTCTCCTCTCTGTCTCTCCCTCTCACTCTCTCACTTCTGTGTCTCTGAACCTGCCTATCAAATAAACCTTACAAAAAAAAATTGTCCATTTAAAAATAATAAAATTAGTGGGAGATCAGAGCTATAGGAAGTAATGAATGCGAGAAACTGTCTGGTTTAATAGAAAGCCTTCAGAACTGCTAAAGCAACAACAGTGTCATATGGGGTTTTAACGTATATGAAGAATAAAACACCACTGAACAAAGGCTGGAGCGAACGGACTTCAATGTTTACACAATTCTGACATGTTTAAATGGTGAAAGCACTACATTAAGATAAGTGGTAGTTTGTTTATTCTGCGTATTAGAGTCACAGAGTATAATCCTTTAAGAAATGAGTACCAAGGTCCCTGGCGGCATGGCCTAGCGGCTAAAGTCCTCGCCTTGAACGCGCCCGGGACCCCATATGGGCGCCGGTTCTAATCCCGGCAGCTCCACTTCCCATCCAGCTCCCTGCTTGTGGCCTGGGAAGGCAGTCCAGGACGGCCCAAAGCTTTGGGACCCTGCACCCGTGTGGGATACCCGAAAGAGGTTCCTGGTTCCTGGCTTCGGATTGGCACAGCACCAGCCATTGCGCTCACTTGGGGAGTGAATCATTGGACGGAAGATCTTCCTCTCTGTCTCTCCTCCTCTCTGTATATCTGACTTTGCAATAAAAAAATAAAATAAATCTTTAGCAAAAAAAAAAAAAAGAAAGCAATGAGTACCAAAAGTAGTAGAGAAGGAGCAGCGGAACAATATGATCCTACTTAAATGAAGTTCAAAAAACGCTGTGAGAGGCCCTAACGGTGGTTACCCCTGGGGGCTGGCTGGGCCGTGAGTGAGTAAGGCTTCATGCAAGCCTTCCAGTCTACAAAGCCCTGGAGAATGTCTGCATCTTAATAGGGCTGGTGTTACGTGGGTGTAACATCTGTGAATTGAGACATACGACGATTCAGGTACTTTACTCTTAGTTGAACCTCAGTAAAGCGAAAAACGGTAACAAAAATGAAAGCAGTGCTTAAGACAGGACAGCAAACTACTGTCCATGCCCAAAGTAAGCCAGCCAAGAAGTGTTTTATGGTTTTAAATGGTGACAGCTATCCAAAGAGCATAGTAATTTGTGACATGGGGAAATTACAAATAATTTAGACTCGTGCCCCTAAGTAGAGTTTTGTTGAAATAACAAAAGGCTGTATTGATTACAATGTAATTTCTTTATTTCTTAGCTAACACCACTCGAATATTCCAAGGGACCAGAATTGTGAAAACAGGAGTGGTAAGTAAGGAATGATAATTGATATGGGTGTCTGGTTGTTAATGTGCAGTGCAGAGTACGACCACAGGGTGGCGGCGTAATGTTGATAAACTGCTCAATGGGAAGCCATGAAAAAATCAGGACAAAATAACAGGACTCATTCTGTATCGCTCAGTACACGATAGAAACAAATCAATTAGCATCCCTAAAGGGCCATTTTATATACTTTCGTTGCGGTAAAAATCCTCTATACTTTTAATTATGTTTAGAATTGGTTAATATAAGAGAGTCAAGAGATATATCTGTTGCAAGCCTGCCATCTGACATATGCCAAAATCCACAGGTTGTCACTTGTCCAAAATTACCTGACTCTTGAGACTTCTCTTGAGTCGTAATTAATACATAAGTTTTCCCATTCCTGACACAACTAATACTGCCTATACAGGAATAATAAAAACAGTCCAGAATTATCTAGGTACTTTCTGGATTTCAGGCACATACAGTTTTGTTGCTTCGTCCTTCGGGCAACCCCAAGGACATTGATATTCCCACTGTACAGATGAGGAAACCAAGACCCGATGAGTTAAAGTCCTGTGCATCGCTGAGAGCAAGGGAAGGGTCCCCCAGTCAAGCCAGGCTGCCTGCCGTCTGCAGCCAGCACCCTCTCCTTCCTGGCATTTAGTTTTCTTTCCCCAATTTGAGTACTTAACTTTGCTCACTCAGATCTTCTCTAAGTAGCCCAGTTTTCCCACTGCAACCAGCTGATGATGTTACAAAGTCTTAAGCTCTCATTCTTGTTCTCAGCTGAATGCATGATAGATCGGAACAGGGGATGCCGGGTACCAGTTCCTAAGAACCCACTTGAAGTGAATGTGTCAGAGCCCGTATGAATCAAATCTCACAGCCAGGTCTGAGTGTAGTGTACTGGGGCAGAATGAACTGAGGTTGGGGTAGGCAGCCGTGCACCTGCAGCTGCCTGGCCTGCATCTAGGATCGGCTTCAGTTGAAATCCACGCATGGTTTTTCTCATGGTGCACGTCTTCAAGACCCTTGTGTTGGGGCGTAGGTTTTGCCATGGACAAACCCAGAGATTCTGGAACATGCAGGGCTGCACCACTGCCTGTGTGGAGGCATGCAGTGTAAGAGCGTTTCCAAAGCTTCCAGCATGGTGCGTGGCTGATGCACCTGCACACCTGGGCACACCCTTTCTTTCTTGGCGCACACACACACTCTGCAAGGGTGTGTGCGGAGATGCCCAGGATCCTTGCAGACCTAAGAGCCAGGAGCTGTGCCCAGGGAGGGAGCATCTGCCTCACTGCCACCCCAGGAGATGTGTCCTTCACACTCTTCCTATTGGCTACTTCCTGTTCCTTCTGACGGCGCCTTGAGTAGCCTTCACTTTTTTGCTACTTGCCCTCCTGCTGAGTGGCATCAGTGGAAATTTGAGCTTGATAATCCAGTTAAATGTGTCAGGTGAACAGTCATGGTCCGTCACTCCCGGTGTTGGCCCCTAATGGTTTTGGATGCCAGCTAGAATAGAGATAGGACAAATTAACGCCTCACGCCCAATGCACCCAACTGACACACTCCTGCTTTATCTTCCTGCCTTCCCTCCACCCTCCCTGGGGGCCCCTCTCAAGCCCACAGCCTCACCTGCCTCTTCCGCGGACATGGCACCCATCAGCTCGGGCTCCTCCACCTGGACCTCCTCTGGCATCCCCTTCTCCTTTGTTTCCATGGCGACTGGGATGGGCCCTTCCTCCAGCGGCAGCCAGGCCACCGTGGCATCGGTGGTCACCAGCACGCTCCTGGCCGGCCTGGGCTTCAGCGGTGGTGGCATCTCTTCATTCCCCAGCTCCGTGTGGCCCACGCGCCTCCCGACAGCCGGGGCAGCCGCAGGGGCCAGCAAACAGGCTGGCAGACCTGTCCTGGCCACGACGGAGGCCTTGGTTTCCCCGGGTCCCGATGGTGACTCGGCACCGACCAAGGATGGCGAGGGTACAGAGGAGGGGGAGAAGGATGACAAGAGCGAGGGCGAAGAGGGAGAACACGAGGAGGAAAGCGAGAAGGACTCGGAAAAGAAAGAGAAGAGCGCGGTGACCCATGCGTCTCGGGAAGGGAATGAGACGGAGGCCAGCCCCACTGACGTGGCTCCGGGAAGGACTGGGGAGCAGGGCGGCCATCAGACTATACCTGGGCACGGACAGGACCACGCTGCCATCGCCACGGAGCAGCCAGGCACCGCGCAGGACGTAGCCCCAGACCTGGAATCAGACATGGTCACCTCCACCCAGGAGTCCCCCACAGCCACAGAGGAGCAACCCTGGAGTGGCCCAGAGATGCCATCTAAGAAGCCCATGTCCCGAGGGGACCGTTTTTCTGAGGACAGCAGATTTATAACCGTCAACCCAGGTGAGTGGCGCCTGCCCGGCCAGGCTGCGGTTGTGGGCTGTTGGGGGCCGGGGTGGAGAGGGGAAGTGCTTCTTGCTCTTGCAGCTGTTCAAGGGCGCTTGGGAAAGTTGGTGCAAAGTGGAATGCAGGTTTGCTGGGGTGTAAAAGAACTTGCACTGACACATAACTCCAAGTGTCATCGAAGTATATGGTCTGCAAAAGCCACTCCTGGGTTTCGTTGTGTTTTGCATGAAAATAGGCTTTGCTCTTTTTCTAAATGTATGTATTTGAAAGGCAGAGAGAGGAGGGGGTTGGAGGGAATCCATCTTCCTCCTGAAGGTTCATTTCCAAAACAACCCCAACGAGTCAGGCCTGGCTTAAGCCAAGTCCAGATTTCCTGTGAAGGTGACAGGTCATAAGCACTTCAGCCAACTTCCACTGCTTCCCCGGGTGCCCTAGCAGAGAGCTGGTCCAGAAGAGGGGCAGCTGGGACTCAAAGCGGCCCTCATATGGGATGTTAGCATTGCAGTCAACAACTCATGTTGCTGTGCTGCAATGCCAGCCCCTGGACTTAGCTTCCAATTCCACCAAGCGTTTCCGGTTCCCTTATAGATTGACAAATGCATGTGCATGCTTGCATGTGCCTTCATATTTTGTTATAACAAGAACCTGTTCTGTTGTCTTTGCCAGAATCCGTCTTTCCTTAATGTTAAGTTTCCTTGTCTCAAGAAGACTCTAAGGACTCTGTTATAGCAGGACAGAGTGAGTTGGAAAGAGGGCCTTCTCGGCATGCTTCCTGTAAAAGGATTCCTTCCTCAGTTATTCTGCAGGTCTGTGAAGGCAGGGCCAGTTTTGTGCTGGGTCCAGGGCTGGATGCTGTGCTGGGGAGGCTCCGTCCCCGCCTCTGGCTACCCACAGCATCACCTGGAAGATGGCGGCTGGCCAGATTACATGCTGGGAGGTTAGGCGACAGGACCCTCAGGAGGCAAGGGACCCAGCAGATGAACTAGGGTTTTTCACTTGTGCAGTGGTAGCAGAGAATAGAATGCTGTCAGATTGGCAGGGACACCAAGGACCTGTTTTAACAGCAATAATAGTAATAATAATAATAATAAAGCCACTCATAGAAGTGAAATGTGAGGGCTGGTGCAATCGCTCAGCTCGCTGGTCCTCCACCTTCAAGCTCCAGGATGCCTTATGGGCACTGGTTCATGTCCCGGCCGCTCCACTTCCCTTCCAGCTCTCTGCTTGAGGCCAGGGAAAGCAGTGGAGCACAGCCCAAAGCCTTGGGACCCTCCACCCACGTGAGCGACCCAGGAGAAGCTCCTGGCTCCTGGTTTCAGATCAGCTCAGCTTCGGCTGTTACAGTCACTTGGGCAATGAACCAGCAGATGGAAGATCCTTCTCTCTGTCTCTCTTTCTGTAGATCTGCCTTTCCAATTAAAATGAATAAATCAAACAAAAAGACAGTGGAAGGTGACAGCAAAGGAGCTGTCTGGAGCTCACACTGGCTGTGTGCATGAGCGGGTTTATAGCTGGAAAGGCCAGGGCCTTGCTCATGTGGCCCCACATACGGGATGCTCAAAGCTTAATGAGCACCTTTAGTAGTTTCTGCAAGGTAGCTGCAAGTGCAAGGGCTTGCTATTGTTGTGAGGGATTTTCTTAGTAAAAAAATTCTTCATTTTGCCAGGCTACAAGATGTTTAGCAACAATTTTTTTTTTTTTTTTTACATCTAAGCTGTTGTGGAGTTATAAGCGTGCAAAAAAAAAAGCAACTGGTAAATATTTATTTGCTTTTGCACTTGTAAACATTAAAATTCATCTAAAGCTGAGATCTCGTATGTTAAGATACAACTTAGAATAAATTTTCATGCTTTGAATTTTCTTTCCTTTTAAAGCTTGTATGGACTATCTTTTTTTAAGTTGGGAGTCTCCTCTGTGTATGGCATCAGCGAGTGGTACCCAGTGGCCATCTTTGGGGTAAAGGCAGTCTGAGGTCATTCGTGAAGCTATTCCTGGGTGAATGTGACCTTCTCCCTAGGGACTGCTGTGAAAAAGGAAAACGAACTTGTGCATTTAAAGTTAGCAAAGAAATATCATTTAATGAAATGCTCACTGTTTGTTAGTTGCTGAGCACACATTGGGCATAGAAAATACAACAAGACAGAGTTCCTCTCTTTGGAGTTACGTATGCCAGTGGGGGACCTGGAGGATGGTCTAGTGAACAGACAGAGGGCTTGAAAGGGCATTCGTTGCTGCAGCTGGGGAGGGGGAGAGCGTGACACTGAGTAACAAAGGATGCAGACCCCGGTGGTGAGAAGAGTCCAGTCTTGTGAAGAAGCAAGGGGCAGAATCAAGATTGCAACAGCAGCGAGTCCAGAGACCTGTTCAATGGGGGCTGGAGCAGGGGCTATGGAGCAGCTCTGCAAAGGCTGGTGTGCTGGGACCCCAGAGGGCAAGCAGAAGTGAGGGACAGCAGGCGGGGGAGCACAAAGGGCTTGTCGCCCATGCTGCAGATCCGATGCTACTTGAAACAGGAAACAAGGGGTGGCTTTGGCCAGGACAATGATGCACCTGGTGAACTTGGGTGGAAAAGCACCCAGAGGAGGTAGGAGGGTTCAGAATATCCTGTTAGGAGCCGGCTCTCCACACGGCCTTAGACCCATGTGTCTTCTCCAAAGATGAGTGGTCAACTTGGAATTGGTTGTTGAACCCTCTGGAATGAGGGCTCCGGCAAAAACCATGTTCTCACCTGTTCTTCTGCACTGTTTCTTGGACCACACTCTTAGGAAATGGGAGCGTTCGGAGCTTAGGTCAAGAGCATTCACACCTTAAGTGACTAGATAGGGGTGTTGTCTGGAACTGCTCCAGCTAAGTGCGAATGAGTTACTGTCAACATCTAGACTCCAGAGAAAGATGGGGGGAAAGGATGGTGCCCTTGGGGACTTCCAGCCTCAGCATGCGTCTCCATGTTCAAATCCTAAGTTATCTGAATAGGTCTCCATCTTGGCAGAAGAGGCTTTTAGATTCCGATCAACCCAGTAGGCTCTGCTCATTGTTCAGGCAAGGTCCATGGGCAGATCTCAGCTCGTCGTCATCAGCTGTAAAGTGGGACAGTAATGTACCTCAGTGCAGGAGGTGTCTGTCTGTGACAAGGACAGAGGAGCTCACCGTAGCCCCAGTAGCACACAGGAGTGGAGGTCACTGCAGAGGCCCCTATCAGGTCTCCTTGCAGTCATTCATCATGGATGTTACAGAGCATGGCAGTAACGGTCCCCAGGTAGTTAGTAAAATTGACCTCTGTAGCGTGGGCCTTGGAGTTTGGACAATGGGTTTGATTCCCAGCTCTGCCTCCTGATTCTGCAGATGGGCACGCTGGGAGGCAGCAGGTGCCAGCTTTGGTAGTATATACCTCCTACCTGGTATGGGAGATCTGGTTTGAGTTCCTAACTTGGGGTGTTAACCTAACCCAGTCCTAGCCACTTTGGGGTGAAGGCAGTAAGCTCTACCATCAGTCTAGGACCCTCCCACGTCCTACAGTGTCTCTCATCCCATCCTCCACCTCCCCTTCTCTGCTCCCTCCAGCCCAATTTTATCTTTCAGGAGATCACCATCACTTCAATATTAGTAGTGATTTGTTTTAAAGAGTGTAGATACACTTTTGCTTTAATCTGTTTTACTTGTAGTTTTTCTTCATGCCAAAGCCAAAACAACTCATATTAATCAATATTTATTCCCTTTGAAAAGAGCGATGGTTAAAGTACAGATGATGCTACATTTCTGCAGGTAGCTGCCAAAGAGTCGTTAATGTTGGATAGTCCTTTTCAGTACCATAAAGCTAGTAGCTGTAGCATCCTCTCCCCGGGGAGCAGAGAGGGACTTCTGTGAAGTCAGCCACCTGCTATTATGCAGGGTAGGACCCAGTGTGGTAAGAGGCAAACAGACCATATCATTTCCTCTTTCCCTAAGGACTCTGTTCTAATTCAGCGAGAATACCTAGCAAGGCAGAAATACAGGGAAGGTTACACATGCCGCCCATTTATAGGGTAAGTTCTGACATTAAAAGTATTAGCAGAGGCCAGTGTGGTGGCATTGGTGGCAAAAGCACCACCTGCAATGCTGTCATCCCATGTGGTTGTGGTTCCTGTTCTGGCTGCCCCATTTCTTATCCAGCTCCCTGCTAATAGCACAAGAAAAGCAGCAGAAGATGTTGCAAGGGCTCTGGCTTCTTCCTGGCCCAGCCCTAACTGCTTCAGACATTTGAAGAGTGAACCAGCAGATGGAAGATCTGTCTGTTTTTCCATCTTGCTCTCTGTAGCTCTAACTTATAGATAAATATGTCTTTTCTTAGTGCATTTTTTTTTTACACAGTCCAAATTAAATACATCTGAGGATAGTTAGGAACCACTGATGTTTGATCTGTACTGTAATGTCAATGGATGTGATTGCCACTGCCCTGGCAAGTTCTTTGAAGGATTGGAGGCCTGTAAAAAGGCACTTGCTCTCAGCAGTGCCTTTCTCTAGCATCTGTTTAGTACAGAGCCCTCTGCTGGCCGTGTGCTGTATGGAAATCCAGTCTAGGGTCCCTCACTCACAAATCCCAGCCTAAGCATGGAGGTGGATCCAGAAGCCAGATGATGCAAAGAAATATCCTTGGGGCAGCGTGCCCACATATAAGTGTATATGAGCGGGCACAGCACTGCTTCCTTATATCAAGGAAGCTCTCTCCAGCAGACACATGCTTCTCAGAACCCCAGTGTATAAACACAGACCCTCTCAAGGGTTGGTGGCTGCCTTTTCCAGGTTGAACCCAAGCCAGGTCCTACAGGGATGGGACCAAGGTTCAAGGCCTAGAAACCCACAGGTTACAGGCCAGATCCTGCCCAAGGGCCCCTTTTTAAAGTCCCAGGAACTAAAAGTGGACAGGGTTGGGCAGACATAAGTTTCTGTTCTGTGTTGAGCCAGCATGGAAGGTGCTGAGCTCCAAACACCCCATTTCTTGGGGCAAACCCGGAGCTGCC